TCATTTGTAAGCAGAGTGAGTGCAATAAATCTACTTTCCTTTGACAGGCATTGAAGTTTTTCAAGTTCTTCCACCACCAAACACTGATATTTTTCAGTCTAATTAGTGAAAACTAGAACTTTATAACAAAGGAAGAAATAATATTGAGATTTTTTGTGGCTATTGACTTAAGTACAACTTTACTTGTTTTTCCACCTTTAAAGTCTGGAGAATTCAACACTATGAACTGAATGATTGTGAACGTGCAACTTGATTTATGTAGAGGAGTTGCTTCCTGCAGGTGTGGCAAATGTATTAATAAAGGAAACCATAACTGTTTGATTTTTTTCCCTCTATTTTCTCATTTACATTTCTTATTTACATCAACAGCATTGCAAAAGGCAGGGACTCTTTGGTGAACATGGGCTAAAAGGCTATAATGAAAACTATCTGAACCGAAGGCAAACAAAAATATTATAAACCCTGCAGTAATAAACATATTACCAAAGACCTAAAGAAAGTAAAAAAAAAAAAAGGCTGCCCTATTAGACTCATTTATCAGATTAAAAGTGCCTTTTAAAATAACATCTTCAAAGTTGGTAATAAACTTACTTTCATTATGTTCATATATATGTAATGTACTTTTTTTGTTTAATGGAATATTTTAGTATGTCTTCATTTCTGCAGGCGGTCTGTGATCATAAAATAAATATGGCTTGAATACTTCTCTGTGTGTAATTCATCTATATAATGTGTTTCACTTACTGAATTGAGCTACTGAAATAATTGAAGTTGAGTAATACTCTACTTTATTGAATATGACTGTATGTCTGGGCAGGGACCAATAGAGTAAAGGAATGTTTATCGGTGTATAAATAAATGCAAAAAATACATTTACAGTTTGCTATGTGAGTGATCTAGATGGAGAAAAGTGTAGAACCAAGGATTATTCTGTGTGGAACACCTACTATACCAGGAGTGGCTGATAAGAAAATGCTCTAATTTCTCTGACTAAACTCTTCTCTACTGAGTTATAGTGCTATTTCCCAGTTCTTTAAAAATTGCAGTACTTTGATTGAAAATACTTAGATTAGTCAAACCGGCACTAATCCTTAAAATACAAACCTTTATATACAATCAGATAATGAAGGAACTAAATGTTTTCATTAAAAAGTAATCAAATATATTTTCCCTGCTTTTCCTAATTGGACATTTATGCAAGCATGAAAACCAAAATACATTCTATTAGAAAATAGACTGATATTGGCAACACAAATCAAAATTTGTTAACACGCAGTTCACATTCCATTAAATTTTATTTACAAAATGGAATTAAGGGCAATTAGTTTTTATTAAAATGTGCTAATTTCTTGTTCTTTAACCTGAAAGTCTCCTTACATCCAAGTTCCACTGGGATTTTTGAGTTATGAATTGAAAACATTTTTTATATGAAATGTTATCCGCCCCACCCCCTCCCCCCAAAATAAAAAATAAAATAAAATCTTATTTCTGCACCAGTTATTTTTCATTTAAAGAAAGAAGTACAATAAGAAATCTGTCAGTTTTCTCTTAATCCAGCAAATTCTAGACTCCAATGAACCATCATCTGCAGATATATATACAGTATCTATATACCTATATATATACAGTGCTGCTTGAAAGTTTGTGAACTAGTTGAGTAGTTTAGATTTTTTTTTTTTTTTACCCTGATTTTCTTATTTTTTCATCACCAGTTTTTGTATATGAAATGTCAGGTTTATGTTCATCAATTCCATTCATTTGTTTTGAGGAAAATGTGGGAGTTGAAAGCAAACTAAATGAAAAACAGAATCAGAGCATCTGCAAAAGTAAATGAACCACAGCTGCACTGGTAAAGACAATCAGGTAAAAGACTCAGGTGAAGCACATGTTAGTGCTTGAGTAATCAATTAAGCAGACCAATCAAATGAGACGTCCTTGGGAAAAGTTTGGAGGTGCACTGGTTAAAAGGGAGACGAAACCAAACAAACCACTGTTGTGTCAAGGCATAAAGACCAGATCAACAATGCCGAGACGAAGGGAGACATCTGAGGACGTCAGGAAGAAGGTGGTGACAGCCCATCAGACTGGGGAAAGCTATAAGACCATCTCCAAAAGATTCCAGCTTCATCCATCCACTGTAAGACAAATCATTTACAAATGGAGGGCACTAGGCATCACTACAACTCTGCCCAGATGTGGACGGCCGTCAAAACTTTCACAAAGAAGCACCAGAAAAATAATGATGCAGGTAAAGGCCAACCCACGCATTACCTCCAGAGAATTGCAGACCTCTCTGTCAGCGTCTGGGATAAATGTACATGCGTCTACAATCAGGCGAAATATCAATAGACATGGCATTCATGGGAGAGTTGCTAGAAGGAAGCCTCTGCTCTCAAGAAAGAACAAAACTGCACATTTAAAGTTTGCCAGAGAACACTTGGACAAACCAGAGGCTTTCTGGAAGTCCATTCTCTGGACAGATGAGTCCAAAATTGAATTATTTGGCCACAATCACAGGCGCCATGTTTGGAGAAAAGTAAACACTGACTTTAAAGAGAAGAACCTCCTCCCAACAGTGAAGCACGGTGGTGGAAATGTGAAAGTCTGGGCCTGCTTTTCTGCCTCTGGACCTGGACGACTCCATATTATCCAGGGAACCGTCAATTCCCAGGGCTATCAACAAATTCTTGATCAGAATCTCTTGCCATCAGTCAGGGAGTTGAAGCTGGGACGGAAATGGATTATGCAACAAGACAATGACCCAAAGCATTCCAGCAAAAGTACCAAAGAAGGGCTTAAGAGAAAGAAGATTTGCACTCTGGATTGGCCCAGTCAAAGTCCAGACCTCAATCCCATAGAAATGCTGTGGCAAGATCTGAAACGGGCAGTACATGCCAGATGTCCCTCCAACATCTCTCAACTGGCAGAGTTCTGCAAGGAGGAGTTGACAAAAATCCCAAAAAGCAGATGTGAGACACTTGTTTGTGGTTACAGAAGACGTTTAGTCGAAGTAATGGCTGCAAAAGGCGGTGCCACAAGGTACTAACTGAAAGAGTTCACATACTTTTGCACTTGGCATATTTTCTGTCTTTGACAGATAAAATACTTTTGTTGAATAAATAATAAAAAGATGCATCTTTTTTGTCTTTGTGTTCCTTATCTGGAAGGTCCGCATTACAATTTGAGCTTTGGATGTACATTTTACATGATTATTATAACTTTTCTTTAGAAAACAATGGCCATGTTTGGATGGTTCACAAACTTTCAAGCAGCACTGTATATGAACGACTCTTAGCTTTTTGCTCCTGACCAGAGTCTTTAAAAAAGAAGCTGATTAGTTGGTCACTTGATTTGAATGGATATCAAAGAGGTTTCTAGAATTTCCTTCTTTTATCTGCTTAATATTGCTAAAATTAGAAATATCCTGTCCTGGGGTGATGCCGAGAAACTAGTCCATGCATTTGTTACTTCAAGACTGGACTAATGTAATTCTTTACTATCAGGAAGTCCACAAATTGTAGTTAAAAGCCTTCAGCTGATCTTTTCAGAACTCTGGCAAAGAAAAAGAAAAATCATATCTCTCCTATCCTGGCTTCTCTTCATTGGTTTCCTGTTAAATCGAGAATAGAATTTAAAATCCTCCTTCTCACATATAGAGCCTTAAATGGCCAAGCTCCATCTGATATCAGAGATATGATCGTTCCTTATGGTCCTAACAGAGCATTTCGCTCTCAATCTACACGTTTACTAGTGGTTCCTAGAATTTCTTAAGATAGAATGGTAGACAGATATTTTAGTTATCAGGCTCCTCTCCTGTGGAACCAACTACCAGTTTTAGTCCGTGAGGCAGACACCTTGATAAAGCTTATAGTTAGAGTGGCTCAGGTTATCCTGGTTATTATGCTGCTATTGATTTAGAATTCTGGAGGACATAGGGACCCCTTTTTCATTATTCTACTTCATTCTATCTCTATTCTCCCAATCTGCGGAATCTGTTAGTTCAATCTCTAACATTATGCTCTCTGTGCTTCTTTCATCTGTTCCTGTTTGGCTGTGACTCCATCCTGGAGAGAAATATCAGCTGTGCTGCTTCCATCAACACCTTTATTTATAGATGTTGGAGATCTGTCTGTTTCTCAGTGTAGTCCTGTTTCTCTGACTATGACTGGCTGGATGTGCTCTCTTCATTCTCTGACATGGGAGTTGGGTGGAGCTTGTGTGCCTGGCTGTGTGTTTCCTGGATGGGGCCCGCCTTTTGCAATTGCTTTTTGTATCTCTGCTTTTGTCTCCTTGAACCCCAGTCCCCTAGGCAGATGGCCGCTCACACTGGGCCTGGTTCTGCTGGAGGTTTCTCCCTGTTAAAAGGGAGTTCTTCCTCTCCACTGTCGCTACAAGCATGCTTAGTGTGAGGGATTGTTGAAGAGTCAATGAGTCGATGCAATCAACTGGTTTTCCTAAGATAGAGAACTTTGAATCAATTTGACTGAATGATCTGGTGAACTATAAAGTGCCTTGAGATGACTTGTGTTGTGAATTGGCACTATAGAAATAAACTGAATTCAATCAATTGTGCTGCGTATGTTTTGCAAAAAGGATGTAGAGAAACATAAACTTCATTCACTTAACAAAAAATAAGACTTCTTGATGAGTTTGAATAAGGATATTAAAAAATATGTCTAACACTTATTTCTTAATGGCAGTGAATTAGAAGTAGGAAAGTCCATACAGACTTCTATATTTTGATGCCAGCGAGAGGGGAACTTGTTGATTTCAGACATAAAAGGAAAATTAAAAGTTTGAATTTTGGAGATAAAAAAAATCGTGGACTTTTATAGCCCATTAGAAGTGGGCTCAGCAGCTCCATACATTTTCATGTCACCAAAGGTCCAGAGCATCTATACATCTTTACTTGAACCCGCTCCACCAGAAGCACCTCCCACAAAACGGGACCGTATAATTGGTGAGTGCTCATTTGCATGCTGAATGCAGTGGATATTTATTTAAATTTAATTTCGTTCCCGCACACGCTGCTCTGCAGGCTTTTGTGCCAAAGTCATATTAACCCCTTGACTAGTTAATATGCACCGCACGACGTGGCCCACGTGCCATGAATATTCATATTGATGGCGGGTTTTTTTCCGGTGTCGTCTGGGCTGCTATCCGCTCCCTCCTGTCCTTGCCGTTTAACGTAACCCTTTAACTGCTGCCGTTATGAAAGCTTCCCGGAAGGCTCCGCAGTCGGGCTGCTTTCCACAAACTCTCAGAAAGTGCGCTGGCCTGCTCCTGGTGTACGTGTCGCTGCTCGCCGCTGAAACAATGACAGATAAGACCGTGCTGCCGAGCAGAGAGCGGGCTCTGAAGGGAAGGGAGGAGAGAATGGTCGTAGCAGGTAAATAAAGAGTATAACAACTTTATAAGATTGTGGTGTAGGATTTTTTTTTTTGGAGCCCAGTCTGCTGGAACTTTTAAAGCTTGTTGCGTAACGTGGAAAAACACAAACACACTGCGACTTCAGCAGAGCTGATGTACAAAATAATGCAAGAAAACATCTATAACAATATTTTTCTGTCTGTATTATAATTTTATATAAAAATATATACGTATATATATATATATATATATATATATATATATATATGCATGTATATATGCATGTATGCATGCATATATATGTATATGTATGTATTTGCACATATGTATATATGATATCATATTTACCTCTCATTCATTCTCATATATATATATATATATATATATATATATATATATATATATATATATATATATATATATATATATATATATATATATATATATATATATATATATATATATATATATATCATGAGGTGAAACCACTCACAATTCCACCTGGATATGGATTACAACATTTCTCTCAATAAATATAAAATCAGAACTAGAATTCATAAACCAGGCACAGCATTATGTATGACCGCTTGCCATAGTAGTTTGTTGCTGGCATCCCAGGCCTGAGCTTTGTGTGTATATATATATATATATATATATATATATATATATATACACAATGGTTTTCTAGCAGGATTATTAAGGATTATTAAGGACAACCATTGCATCTTCTAAGGATCTACTTCCCCCATCTGGGTGCCAAATACAGCAGCCTACCTTCACGGAGGAGTGAAGGTAGGCTGAAGATTCAACAAACTACGTGGTATTATATGGCATATATGGTGGCATATATATATATATATATGTGTGTATATATGTATGCATATATACACATATATGCATGCATATATATATATATATATATATATATATATATATATATATATATATATATATATATATATATATATATATGTATATATATATATATATATATATATATATATATATATATATATATATATATATATATATATATTTATATGCATATATACACATATATGCATGCATATATATGTATATGTATGTATTTGCACACATGTATATATGATGTGATATTTACCTCTCATTCAGTCAAATACACTATATTGCCAAAAGTATTTGCTCACCCATCCAAATTATTGGAATCAGGTGTTCCAATCACTTCCATGGCCACAGGTGTATAAATTCAAGCACCTAGGCATGCAGACTGTTTTTACAAACATTTGTGAAAGAATGGGTCGCTCTCAGGAGCTCAGTGAATTCCAGCGTGGAACTGTGATAGGATGCCACCTGTGCAACAAATCCAGTCGTGAAATTTCCTCGCTCCTAAATATTCCACAGTCAACTGTCAGCTGTATTATAAGAAAATGGAAGTGTTTGGGAACGACAGCAACTCAGCCACGAAGTGGTAGGCCACGTAAACTGACGGAGCGGGGTCAGCGGATGCTGACGCGCATAGTGCGAAGAGGTCGCCAACTTTCTGCAGAGTCAATCACTACAGACCTCCAAACTTCATGTGGCCTTCAGATTAGCTCAAGAACAGTGCGCAGAGAGCTTCATGGAATGGGTTTCCATGGTCGAGCAGCTGCATCCAAGCCATACATCACCAAGTGCAATGCAAAGCGTCGGATGCGGTGGTGTAAAGCACGCCGCCACTGGACTCTAGAGCAGTGGAGACGCGTTCTCTGGAGTGACGAATCGCGCTTCTCCATCTGGAAATCTGATGGACGGGTCTGGCGGCTGCCAGGAGAACGGTACTTGTCTGACTGCATTGTGCCAAGTGTAAAGTTTGGTGGAGGGGGGATTATGGTGTGGGGTTGTTTTTCAGGAGCTGGGCTTGGCCCCTTAGTTCCAGTGAAAGGAACTCTGAATGCTTCAGCATACCAAGACATTTTGGACAATTCCATGCTCCCAACTTTGTGGGAACAGTTTGGAGCTGGCCCCTTCCTCTTCCAACATGACTGTGCACCAGTGCACAAAGCAAGGTCCATAAAGACATGGATGACAGAGTCTGGTGTGGATGAACTTGACTGGCCTGCACAGAGTCCTGACCTCAACCCGATAGAACACCTTTGGGATGAATTAGAGCGGAGACTGAGAGCCAGGCCTTCTCGTCCAACATCAGTGTGCGACCTCACAAATGCGCTTCTGGAAGAATGGTCAAAAATTCCCATAAACACACTCCTAAACCTTGTGGACAGCCTTCCCAGAAGAGTTGAAGCTGTTCTAGCTGCAAAGGGTGGACCGACGTCATATTGAACCCTATGGATTAGGAACGGGATGTCACTTAAGCTCATATGTGAGTCAAGGCAGGTGAGCAAATACTTTTGGCAATATAGTGTATTTATATATATATGAATGAGAGGTAAATATGACATCATGAGGTGAAACCACTCATAATACCACGTAGTTTGTTGAATCTTTTTTTTTGCCTGAGCTCTTATGGCAAGGACTCCTCCGTGAAGGTAGGCTGCTGTATTTGGCACCCAGATGTTGGAAGTGGATCCTTGGAAGATGCAATGGTTGTCCTTAATAATCCTGCTAGAAAACCATCCATCCAGCCATCCATCCCACTGAAACACAGACAATTAAAACAACAACAAAATCACTGTACTTTGTTAAGGACAGGTTTGAGAGGCAAATGAACTAAACATGTTTTAAACACTAAAAAGGTGCCAAAGAAAACCCAGACAAAACCCAAACCTGAAACCTTCTTGCTAATAGGCAGCAGCACTGGGTTTGCCCATTTCCTAAAACATATCACTACCTCTATAGAGTATCACAATATCATTACTTGTACAAGGCTGCCTTCCTCCCACATGACATCTTGTTGCTATGTGTTCCCCAGATAAAAGATTCATGCCCCTACCCCAACCCCCCAAAACACACAACCTTCACATGTAAAAGAGTGGTTATAAATCCGCCCAGAGCACATTTTTCTATGCTCATATTCCCATTGTGAATTTGGTAGACCTGGGTAAAAAGAGCAATAGATTTTTTTGGGCCTTTAAGTTGTTATTGCATAGTCAAGAACATAGTAATCCTGCACATAAACAACTTAAGTGTTGACATTGTCTTGGAAAAGGGGGCAGAAACTGTCACTAAGTCGTGGTTTGAAAATATTCTGGAGCCCTTAAATATAAAATAAATCCGGGGCACCTGTATGTAAATTTGGTCTTAAGAGATTTAACACCACTCAGTTCCTCTTAAATAAAATCCTGATTTACACATATTAGCTGATAAAGCTGTCCACCATTAAAGTTATTTGGGCTACTAACCTGAAACAGAATGCAGCGACAGCTTCTTTGTGGTTTTTGCTCTGTCTTCCATCCTTAAGAAAATAAAGTTAGGATGCAAACACACTTTTGGCCTGATATTCAAAGATTCCAGATAAGAGGGGTTAATTGCATAATAATTTTTAGTATGTGTAATATGTGGGAGTGTTTCGAGTAAACTACAAAGATTGCTGCACAAATGTTAAAGCAGCAAAATGATTTGGTTCCACCCATGATAATTAGCTGATTGCTGACAGTTTTACAGTGGCTGTAAAAGAAGAATGAGGTTCAAAGCTATGTAGATGGGGGAAATAATAATAATTATTAAACTGAAATACTGATTATACTAGATGACTTTCATAGTGCATTTCATAGCCGTTCAAAACACTTTGAACAAAAGTAAAATATAATAAAACATCCCTATGCTCATGTAAGGTTAAGTTTTATAGAGGATGAAAAAAAAGTGTGGGAAGAGATGTGCACAATATGTCATTTTGGATGTGATTACATATAAACTAGGGATGGAATGGTTTATGTAAACCGTCCGAACTGTTCGGTTCGACTGTCTTGGTTCGATTCACGTGTGTTGCTTTCGGTTCATGCGCTGCTCCTTTTTCTCATAGGCGAAGCGTGTACACTCCAGAGCAGAAGGTGGCGGTACTGCGACCAAAGCCAACCACCAGTAGTAAACAAGAAGAAGAAGCGAAGCAGCTTAGCCGGGTGTAGCAGAAAAAAATCAGTTGTTGTGGAGAATTGTGTGGGTATGGCGAGTGGGAAAGAACAGGAGTTGGAAGACGCGCCAGCAGCACTTTATAGGTCTGCTGTATGGAACCGCTTTGCATTTAGAGTGACCTACGATGACGGCGGAAAGAAAGTTGTGCATAAAAGTGCAACAGTGTGCAAGCATTGTGCAAGACGTTTTGTTTATGCTAACAGCAACATGACCAACATGTCAGGCTAACAATCAACATTTACCAAACCGAACTGAAAACCGTGACCACGAAACCGTGAACCGAACCGAACCGTGGATTTTGTGAACCGTTCCACCCATAATATAAACAGGAATTTAAACTGCTACAAAGCTGTGGAGGGTGAAGAGTGCCACAGTACAATACGTACCTACTGAAATAATTCTTTAAATATGCCTTTAAATGATTATAACTGGAAATAGATACATAATCTTTATAAATATATATGATTAATTATATGGGCCTCTCATATGAGATTTAATACAAATCTGGAGCAACAGTGGCGTTGGATGCAGGAGTTTGCCTTGCAGCCAGAGGGTTGTCAGTTCAAGCCCCAACCATTGGGGCTTCAATGCCATTGTTCCTGAGCTGCAGTGGCCACAATTTAGCTTACTACCATTAGTGTGTGTGAGAATTCATTGTAAAGTGCTTTGGTCAAATCTTCAGACTTGAAAAAAGATTATGAAATCATTTAGCATCTATTTCAGACCAAACTATGGATATTGAGGCTGGAATTATGCACCCAATGAGCTGTTTATACATTCTGACCTGTTTTTGAAGTTGTTTCCATCTATTTCATTGATTATATTAACTTTAGGGTAAAGAAAAAAAAAAGTATAAAGCAGCCAATCAGACGGCAGACTTTCAATGGAAGCTTTCCAAGTCCCGCCTCCTTTACTTTGATATATGGGTGACAGTTTAAATTAATCCATGGTGTGCTTCACTGCAGGAAGAAC